AGATCATGTTGTGCGGGGTCGAGAACCCTCACTCCGCGCAAGGGGGATGGTCGCAACACGTTGTGTTATAATGGTTAAGCACCCTCGAGGTAGTTACACAGTGATTACAACTGTCTCTGGAAGTGAAAGCACCAGAAAATAAATTAATTCATACGCAGCTGTCATCCGTACGCAAGGAAGTAAGCACAAGATGCCGAACACCCTTAGCAGGATGCAGCGCACCCTTCATGCGACTCGCCGAATATCTCACGGCGCTTCGCGCTTGGTGATGTGAGAGCCTGGTCCGGTGAGAACCCGGCGTGCTCCGTCCCGGCTTTGTAGGGATGCGAGGTCAATGGTCTAACGACTACGGCATGCACGACTATGAGTACCCCCCCCCCCCCTCTTCTCACTTCAGGACCACCACAGGTCGTCAACAACGACACATCCCACACGACGCGAAGAGTCGCGTTCAGGTCGACGATGCAGGTGGCCGGTTTGCACCGCAATCGACTACGTCAAGGATACATACACCTTATCTCTCGAGAACCATGCGTGGAGCGTTAGTTTGTGGGGCGTTATTGCGAGGCAGGAAGGGGCAGAGCAGATGTTACATCCACTCCTCAGGAACGTGCACCGACGACCAGTATCAAAGGGGTTCTTGTGCACAATTAACTACGAACCGTTACAACCATTGGCCTCCATTGTACTGCCGTTTCGACGGGATACATACATACCACTATACGCCGCCGACAACAATTAGTCTAGTCTAGTCTATACCGGGTGGACGCACAACAAGTACTGCAGCAAGTACTGGCTGAGAACCATAGAAAGGCAGAGCAAATACATAGCACAGCACACACACCATACGCAGAGCAACACCCTCTGTCAAAGACGACGCGCCCCACACCACGTATTTTTTTCTCTCAGACTGTCGACCACAGCGAGCCGCTACTACTCAGGAAAAACGGAATATTTCTCCTTCCAGACTGTCGACCACAAATGTTAATTGGGGCTACAATAGTAACCATGGTTGCTAACAGATGGCAGGCAGGCGTAACCAGTCTGACATATCCATCAGTGGTCCAGGCAAGAGGAAGAAGGTACTATGTATGCAGAGAGAGGAGGAGAAACGAAAGGAAAGCCGAAGATCTGCAGCCCACCCTCTCGGTGTCGGTGTCGAGCTGACTGCTTTCCGTCTGTCTCACCTGCCGCTGTGTGTGTGCAACGAAAAAATACCTCTCGTTAGTGGTGCGGACCTCTCGCTGGAGGGCTAGTTCCCGTTCGGGAGTTACCCTGGTGGGCCGTTACCATCAAAATATTACCGTGCATTACCGTACTGGCCAGCTACCACCCAAATGTTACCATCATGGCCAGTTACAACCCAAATATTACCGTGTATTACCGTATTCGCTGGTTCCCATACCAATCGCTACCGAGCTGGGAAATCGTTACCGAGAGGACCCTTAAACTTTCCCACCGCCGCTTCCGTTTTCAAGCCGTACAATTAACTTCCACCACGGGAAAAAAGAGAGAGAAGAAGGCTTCAGTTGAGGCCGGGGCACCCCAGGGTTGTTATAGCCTACAATCTCCGCAAATCTCGGAAAGTTTGACCGACACCCGGTGTCTTATACTGCTTGTGCTCGCCGCCACTGACCCCGATCTCCTGAACTGCGGGTCACAGCAGTAGCTGATGACACTAGCTACTGCTGACAACCCTCGGTTGAGGAGTTTAAGGCCCGTGGCGGTGAGCACGGCTTCTTCGCTTTTTTACTATCGTGAGTGGTCGTGCCCGTGGTTTCAACTGAAATGAGCGGTCGTGTCGTGCCCGTGGTGTGCTATAAAGCAGCGTGGGGCCGTCGAAGTTGTTTTTGCGTGGCATCACAGCAGCAGGGAGCACGCGTTGTGTGACGTACGCATGTACAAAGTATACTGCTTTGATTACTCTATTTCTGGTACACATCATCATCGTCTGTCGCTGATCCGTGCACCCTCGGATGATGCGTGCGACAGCGAACGCTGTAGGATGCAACAAGAATAAAAGCGCGCGTACTTTTGCACGCACCACCGGTTTGTTGTGGTTGCATGCAAATATGTGTGTGTTTCTCGTCTGTGCTCTCCCCATCAGATTAGTATTAGCCAATGGTTGTCCGTCTGTGCCTATCCCGCCTTCTTCGTGACAAAAACGTCGTCTTGAAGGATGTAACAACAATTTATGCACGCACAACATTTTGCATACAGGTTGACACCGGTATTGATGCTGCTTGTGTGCGAATCTTCATTTCGTTTGCGTCCTCTACACCACCTCGAGTCACCTGGTAGTAACAAGTGATGACTAACATTAAGTTCAACTCCAATTCTGCGTTTAATAATAAATAACTCGTAGAAGACTAGCACGGTTGCCCAAGGCAAGCTGAGATATCAATGTAGCAACACCTGCTCTTGTACACAAAAGTAGAGGCAATGCCCAATCGTACGCCGACGTGGTGACTCCTTGATGGACTGGCCTTCATCTGTATACACGTACGCATTATTAGCTACGCCTGCTCTCGCGACGAACGCAGGCGTCCTCGTTAAAACTCAAGATAAAATGCCTACTCTTGGAACTCCCGATACACAACCAATTTCCGACTCTTCCCGCCATTATTAGATACAGGAGCCATTTGAAATGCTCGCCTTTTCGCTGATTAGATTGAACTTGTTCCGTTCCCGTAAAAACGTGCACACTGCTGTACCTCGAACAGGTACCGTAGTGTCTTGTGTTGTGGCTACTTCTATCGACCTCCACACAGATCTGTTCTGCAGTCTGCATGGTTCTGGAGTTTCGCGAACAGACAATAACCGAACACCACCGGTCTTGCCTTGAAAGGCGCAATCGCTTTAGGTGTTAGTTCACTATGATGTATTTGGAATGACTGCTTGACTCGTGCGTGGTAGTCTAGCGCAACAACAGATTTTTCGTCATCTGCTGCAACGTATCTTTGTAGTCCGTGGTATGGGTGCTTACGTAGTTGTCACGTCAATCGACGAACACGCTACAACCACAGAGGGATCTATGAGCATTATTTTCGGTAGTGCACAGAAACGTACATCACACCATGCTGCTAGCGCACGGAGCGGGTTGACTTGAATCTAGACAAAATGCGTATCAGTCGGCCTTGTTGGGGAACTGAGTCTGTTTCTTCTCCCCTGCCGTCGCCGGGGGGTTATGCTCGCACCTCCCGTTTGAGCAAAGAGGAAATTCGAACCCCCAACCTTCCATTCGCTATCTACCTGGGTTTATTTCCATGCCTGTCCGCGACTCTGTTTTTTGGTAGTGCTTCATTAGTCGGTTCGTGCCTTGCCGCGTCTCTCCCATTGTCTTTTTCGCTTACCAGGGGTGGGTAATCGACGCGATGGAAATTCTTGTGGTGGCGTTTGTGCTGGAAGACATTGCGACCACGTTCGAGCTGGGCAGCGTCGGAAAGGGGCTAATCGGCAGTGCCAGTTTCTTTGGTAAGGCGACAAGCACGTGTACGACCGGCCGGGGACGGGGGTAGGGGTAGAGAGAGTAACAGACAACACGAAATTTCCAGGCGTTTCTAAGGTATCCCACGTGGGTCCGCAGCAAGGTTAGCGGGCGCACGCCGTGCGTTGCCACGGAAAACATTCGTATGCCAGATGCCACCATCTTCGTAGTTTGCCTTTTCACCCCATTTCTCGTCTCCTCTACGCGTCCTTCCCTCTCCGCTGCAGGGATGCTTGTCGGCGCGGGTTTCTGGTCCATCTACGCGGACAAGCGCGGCCGCAGGACAGCCTTCGTGTCGTCTCTGGCCTGCGTCTTTGTCGGCGGGGTCTTCTCCGCTCTGTCACCGTCGCTGTATATCCTCTGCCTGTGCCGGGTGCTCGTTGGCTTCGGAGTAGGAGGTAAGGCAGGCGGGACACACAAACTGCGCCCTCGATCTATGTGCCAGCTTGTTTGCACGTTTTTCAAGCTTGCCTGGGAACATAATCCAATTAGGACGGTCAGCGAAACAACCATTCAAGGGTCAAACAGAGCAAAATAGCGAACCAAGGACCACAAATGCCGCGCAGCCAGGCAAGCCCCCCGTCCACTTCATCCAGCGGTTCCTGTCGCCGTTTCCGCTGTTCAGTTAATCATAACTTCAGAGTATGCCCTTTAGTCCAGCCAAGCATTGTGCACGTGTTGGTCAGTCCCGTGATGACGTTACAGATGCTTGGAATCTGTCTCGTCCGTCGCAAGGTCACACGGCGAGAGCTCCACACCTGTATGAATAAAACGGAAACCGCTAAACTCATCAGAGACAGCAGTCAAGACGACACAGTTCCTTTCGCCGCAGCAGCACTCAGCTGTGCGCCCGGCGTCGTCCTCCGTTTCAACCTCTGACGGCAGGTAACTTGCCGGTGACAACCGCGCTCGTCACCGAGTTTCTGCCAACCGACGAGAGGGCCAAAATTCTCTGCCGAGTGGCTGGAATTTTCTGGGGCGTCGGTATGATCTCCGCTTCCCTCCTTGGTCTAATCCTCGCCAATGTTCTCGGGCCCGGGTGAGTGCTGAACTTTCCTTCCGAACACCCCTGTCTCCTTTCCCCCGCTTCGCGTGACTGTGAGCACCACATCCCCGTCACTGGCGCGCGCACGTATGCATACCTTTCGTTATTTATGGGAGCATACACGTGATCCACAGTAGTGGTGGGGCAGGTCTAGTGCTGCATGTGTTGTGCCACGAAGTGTCAATGGTGTAGGTTATGGCTACGAACAGCAGTTACGGCTTTGGCTTTGTGTCTCCCGCCAACCACCATCTAGGCCTCCCCTACGACTTCGTCCGACGAACGTTCAACATCGTGAAAGCCCCCGACATGACCATACACAATGCCCGTGCCTTGACAACCTTTGCTTGGATATATGGGTGGGGGCATAATCCTCTCGATCACGCCTGCCACTACCGTACACATACTCTCGATGCGATCTGCAGCTCGCCATGTGATGAGCACATGCTTTCCATCCTTCCCCGCACGAGATGAATCATATTGATGCTGACATCCTGGCGTGGTGCCTGCCCTATCGATGTCCTCGAACAAATGTGGCACGCAACAGGCAGGAAGAGACTATGTGGCGCTGGTTTCTGGGGGCGGCCGCGCTTCCATCAGCAATGGTGGCCGTGGCTTACCGGTTACTTCCTGAATCTCCTCGCTTCCTGCAGGTCATGGGGAGGCACGACGAGGCGATGCAGGTGTGCTGCGTGTGTGGTGTGGGGTGTGAATTGTCGTATGGCGTTTAGGAGGTCCAGGTGTAGTTTTAGACGTTGCTCTCATGAAGGTAGGGGCGCAAGTGCTGGGATTCGAAGACAGGGAGGCCGAGGCCGTCAGCGCACGTTCGAGAGACATGGGGGTCAAGTTGGCGTTTATTTTGTGTTTTCCACGCGGGATGGGCGTGTGTGTGTTACCGTGCGACACGGCATTGCGAGGTCACTTGTGGAAATATGGTGGAGCTTTCGGTGCAGGGAAGGAGGAAAGGCTTATACCGTGGCGGCAACCTCGGATATTGAGAAAGAAGTTGATTGAGATTCTATTTTCTACACCCTACAGGTGTTGGAGCGCGTGGCGAGAATAAACGGCAAGCTTGACGTGCTCGGGTTGGACTTTTCAGGGCAGGCTACCGGTGAGGGAAACACTCTTCGCCTTTGGACGACCGGGTCATCAGGTTTCTATCCGTAGTCCCGTATCATCGAGGAGAGGAAGGGGGGAGTCGGTGAAAGGAGTGAGGAATGGGGGTGTAAGATGTTGAGAGCTCAGTTTCCGAGCGAGTCTGATTTGCATAGTTCGCTCTGTTTTCTCCACGCGACGCAAGTGCTGTCCCTTACTCTTTTTCCGACAGGAATCTCAGGTTCACAACCTACCACGCGGTTCGTCCGGAACGGTCGATGTGCGTGGCAGTGCAGCCGACGACGGCGACGGTCCACGAATGTAAACATGCAGGCATTTCACTTGCTCGAGGTGCCATGAGCTACTCAACGCTACCGTTCCGTGTACAGCAGTATACTCGATCTCCCCCGCCTTAAGTTAACGCGTGTGTCGTGTGGTTTGGTTTTCGGCGTCGGAGATGTTTACGCGGACACGACCCCCTATCGTGTATGATCGACGCCGGCGGCGACAAGCAGCTAGAAGGCTCCTCAGCTTGTGCGTGGGACGACCTCCTGACCTGCTTCTTCAAAGCTACACGTCCTTCGGCGGATGACAATGGCGTTTGTCACTCTGACAGGTCTGAGGTCTGACGGCGGCGGCCGCGACGGCGAAGCAGCTGCCGCCGGGATCGGACAATCCGCGACGTACGGGCGAAAGGCTGACAACATTGAGGCGGGAGAAGTGCGCGAGCTGTTCCACACTCCTATTCTGCGAAGGATCACCTTGTCCCTGTGAGTATTGGTCGGCGTATCTGGTTCAGACGCCGGGGCGGCGGCAGCGGCACGGGAGGGGGGATAGAGAATGTGTGCCATAAAAAAATGTTGAAAAGAAAAAGAGTGGCAAAGTTTTCTGTGTCCTGCAGTCATGAAACACCCCCGTCGATCCAACGTGTTCGATTCGTGGACTTCCTGTTTCGTGTTGCTGCACGATGTTGTTTCACATTTTGCGTTGTACTGATGCAGGGCCTAACTGACCGTGTTTCCTCCCCCCATCGACCGACCCACGTTGTCGTTTCTCTCTCCACCCCGCCGCCTCTCCGATGCTCATAACACCCGCTCTCATTTCTTATCAACGCGCTCTTTTTTTGTACATCTCTCACGGACGGTGACGTTGTCACCCTGGCATGCCGTTCTTTTCCTCCCCGCTGGTTTTGGATGCTCCGCTCGTCTCCGGCTTCCTTTGTCCCGTGCGCGGCCAACGGGACCGCGTACTCGTTCCAGATGGGTGGTCTGGCTCACCCTGAACATCAGGTAGGCACAATCTACGAATTGGATGGCTACGGATAATAGATTCGTCGCGATGTGTGGCGGCTTGCTGAGGCAAGCGACTGTTGCAAGATGTGCACTGACGTTGGTTCCTTGGAACGTTGGTCCGCATGGCAGCGTTGTATACGAGTCGGAACCAAAACCCCACCCCGGCCCTTCCACACTCCGGCGCCCCCGCTGCCAATGTTACAATGGCCGGTGTGTACGATCACGCATTGCTCTCTTGTCCTTCTTGGAGCCGGGACTATGGAGACGATTCAAAAGTCGCTTTTTGATTGGATGTGCTTGCACCGCGTACGCTCAACCAAGATTCTGAGTTGTGTCAACAATAACCATACGGGACTTAAGTTGATCGTTCTTCTTGCTGCTAAAATGCGACGATGCTCCTCGTCTTACCCTCTCTCCCCGTACGTCATGGACCGCAATACTGAGCAGCTACTACGGTGTGACCTTCTTGCTGCCGAGGTACTACGATGAGATATCGGGCGGGGAAGCGGACTTCGTATACATTCTCAGCGCCCTCGTTGGGGCAACGTTTATCCCGGGTAAGTCTTGCCGTAGCACGGCGTGACCCCCGACGATGTGATCACGTGGAGCGATATCGTGCACGCAAGTTTTAGGGTAGTTGATCGTAGTTGGTGGCAATGTCACGGTCGGGGTCGCGTTGAGTCCGTGGCTCAACGGTAGGCCTCGCTTTTCCGGCACACTCTTCTTTTGCGTACTTGAACAGGTGAGTAAATGTGCAGGTCTTGGCGATCTGAATTGCATTCCAAGACAACCAGGGTTGTGCTGCGCGACGCGTTCTCGTTAGTTCACAGAATTCGTGCCCTCAATACACCAGTCGACCATGTGGTACCCTTCACGACCTGTCCTTGTCGCCGATGCTTGCTTCGTATGCCCACCCTTTGGAGCTACGACCGCCGACAAACTGAGTTGGGACAGGTCTGCTTTACGTCGGCCAACATGCAGCAGCGGACGGAAGCTAAGCGAACCACAGCATGTCGCTTGTTTTGTTTTGCTGTTAAAAGGATGCTACCCCACCCCACCTCCTGGTCCTGGTTCCTACAATAGGCGCGTTCGCGGCCATGAGGCTGTGCTCTGAGCGTTGCCTCGGTCGCGTGGGTGCTCTCAAGTGGTCGTCCTTTGCCACGGCGACCGCCGTCCTTTTGCTGGCCACGACCGTGCAAGTGGAGGCTCTCTTCGCGGTGGCGTCTCTCTTGACCCTGTTCGTTGTCAGTGAGTGTGCTTGTTTTTGTGGTACAGAGCAAAAAGACGGGCGGTGGGGTTTCGGCTCATACTTTACCGTAAGACAAACAAAGAGAGATTGGACGGCAACCGCAGGGTGGTACTGTTCAGATTGTGACAAAGCAAAACCTACAGCCTCACCCGCCGTGACTTGACCGCGTGTCGTACGTGGGTATCTTGCGGCTGCAGTCACCCTCCCCTGTCGGTTTCGTTTCCCGCAGACTACCAATACCCTTCGCCTACTCATCGTAGTCAAGGTCGATGCCACCTCCCCCATGCGCTGGGTACAATCAGGTTCTGCATCCCTTGTCCCCTGCCGTTGTGATTTCAGAGACATGCAATACATTTTGACGAGGTGGTATACGGTCCTGGGCCCGTTGTTCTCTATGTTGCAACCCCTAGATGGTCAAGATCATTCGCGCTTCTGGTTGAAAGCGATTACAGTGGGGGTCCCTGGTTAGTGCCGGTATGTGCTCCGCAAATTCACGTGCACCGGACCGGCACTAGTCAAGGCACTGACAATGAATTGGAAATTCAGTGTGTGCCCGCCGAAAACACCGGCACTATGCTGGGCACTGGCGCCGTTCAACAAGCACCCCCACCGTAAACCGGCGTGTCGCTCCTCCAACCATTACTTCCCAGGTCGTCCCTCAAGAATGTAGCTGGGACAAACCTAGAACATGCGTAGTGTTGTGTTTCGATGGTCGTGTGTCGTGTGGCACAGGTGGCGTTTGATGGGTGAGGATCCGTTCCATTCCCTAAAACCTACCCGAGATTCTACAAGCACACCGAAGCGCACTCACAGACCCCCACCCCCACCCTCCAGGAGGGCCCGTGAAGCAGGGGTTTCTGATTCGTGATAATCCCCTCCCCCATATTTTTCTTACCCTCTAGTCCAGTTAGGTTGAGGGTCAATTGCATAACGGTAGGGTTTCGTGTTGTAATATCTGTGTATCAGTCGGGTTTAGTTTCGCAGCTTTCAACCCAAAGAATAACGTGAATCACTTGGAAGTAGTTCACTTCCAGCATGTTGAAAAATCGTTCTCCTGTATAGGTTTTATCACTATAACAGATGTCACACCAATTCCCAGGCATACAGTCGACCTGCCTCCCGAGGCGGTCCTTAATCTAACTTGGTGTAGGACGTCAGGCATCTCGCCACACGGGCCTTCTTGCACCCGTCAAAACGATTCGAATATGTTGCATGTTGGCGAGGTTTCTGTTGGAAGTATTGACGGTGGTTCGTGTTGACAGTGATTCGTGGCCCTTGGTCAAAAGTGAGCACGCCTCTCCGCTTCCCTCTTCTCCCTGCCCCCCACACCCCGGCGCTGCTTGGCAACGTTTTCCGGCAGCTATCCCTGGGATTGTCATATATGTCTTGACGCCAGAACTGTACGCGACAAAGTACCGAGCAGTGGGCTTGGGAGCCGCGAGCTGTGTGACGCGCCTGGGAGGTGCGGGCTATTGTGCGCTGGCCTTGCCGCGTTGATGAGGGTTTTCACACAACGTCCGCCACAATGTGTTGTGTACGTTGTTGTTGGCTTGTTTGGGTTTGTCGCCTGGTGCCACATGGACCCGAGCTGACCAGCGGGAAATGTGTAAGAATATGGCAAACGTATCACGGGTCAGACTGCTGGGCCTGTATGATGGGTGCATGTTTGTCTCTTGGTATCTTCAGTCTTGCTACTCGCTACTGCTGCTGCAAGTTGAGAGTTGCGTTCTGTGGGGAAGGAGCGGGTCACCTCTTTCGCTCCTGCCCCATACCTATAGATACACATTTGTTTGCTGATTGACTTGGCTGTGTGGAGCTCACCCTCCCGGAGCGACATGCCTATCGTCGCACCACTCCTACATGCTTCCAGACGAGTGGATTGTGCGGTATGCAGGGTCTTACTCCCACGCACAAACTCGGTACCACAGTCGGTGGTAAGACTCTAGGAACAACCATGCAGAGTGAAACATTGAGTATCAGCAACGATCACGGCGTCCATACACGTGTCTTCTTGTGAACCTTGGCTCTTGTTTCCCTTTCTCTTTTCTATTCAGGTTTGATTGCACCCATGCTGGCGGAGTTGTTGTACGATCGGGGTGGCCCAGTGGCTCCTTTGTTGGTGTTCGGGCCGATCATGATTATCACCGGCATCGCGGCGGGTAAGTCTTGAGCCTCTTGCACGCTGCTTGTGGGCGTTGTGTTGTCGATGCCTACAGTGACTCGCTCTAGGGTCCAGAAAAAGCCAGGGTTTTGCAGCTTCCTTTGGGCGCAACCTGTTCGTGTACAATCTGGTTGTTTGCAATCTGTGAAAGCAGTCCACCACTTGCTATCTAAACTGTCTGGCTGCTGGGGGGTGGTGAATCCCCGTCCACTCCGCTATGCCCCTGAACACATTCGCTAAGCAACCATAGATTTCTTTTTCCATCTGCAAATTAAGACCCACCCTTGGTGTGTGGTAGACGTTACTTAGAACTCGGTTCACGGCTGGACATTGGGTTCCTACTGTCCTCGCGTCGTCGTCGAAAATCCTTCACCTTCTCGGGATGGCGAACGTTAGAATGTAGGATCCAAGGCCACTTGATGGGGCGCGCCTTGGCTGCCGGCCAATTGTGGAAACGAGGCTTTGCTACACGCGCACGATGCGTGACAGCATCGATCCAAGTGCTCCTTGGTGGGGATGTTTTCCAACACCTTGACGCGTTCCACACAGCTTCACTAACTAAACGCAACGGCGACAAGCACTGTTCTATCTACCGATGACCACCTCTCTTCTGCACAGCTAACCGCTGGATGTGGTCGGTATCGCGGCGTTTAGGTTTATATGCATCTCTAGCTACCCCCGATCGAGCTCAGAAGCGCTTGGTAAGAGGGCCGGATGGGCTGTTTTATATTCGCCAGGCTTATCATGCGCCCTGCTTGGGTAATGAAGCCTTCAGTATAGCACGGCCGTCAGCCAAAGTACCCAGGACCTGCTGACGTTTGCCCTCCTGGGGTGCGTGGGCCGTTAAACCGCCTTATGGCCATGTTTATGCTGAACAAAGAATTATTGACACCCCAAAACACGGGCGTTCCTCGGATTTTTTGAAGAGGTCTCCCTCCGAGGGGTGTCCTTGTTAAACCCCTACCCTATGTAATGTGGACTAGTGAAGCCATCAGACTACGTCTTACACATGCCATTATCAGGCATGATTCCCGTCGAAACGGCCGGACGAGAACTAGACGACGACAGCTGGGACCGCAAAGAACCGGCCAAAACAACACGGGCATTTGCTCGCCCCCATGCGGAGCCATACTCCGACGCTCCTGTGGTTCCGTGAAAGAGGACCGCGAAGGCTGTGGTGTATTTTTGTTGGGGTTCTGACGCTGCCGGGTGCTAGTCCGGTAAACTTTCTTATGTTTGTTAATTGGTGGTGTACACCCGCCGTACGTCGTTTGGGAGCGAGATGGAACGATAGCCGGGGCACGTCAGAAAAGGACGCGCGAATCTGGTGGTGGCGAGCAGCATGTTTGTTCCACGGCCTGGCCGGTTCCCTTTCTTCGTAGGGTTGGGTTGCTTTTTTCCGCTGGGGTGTTATACGAGTATTTTCGTCTTGTACTTCGTATGACATACGTAGAGGGGATGGGACCAAATGGCGAAACACGTTGCGCTGCATCGCAACAGTGTTGTGGTCATTTATGTGGGGTCAGGTTCAGTGCATCTTGTTTCCCTTCCTGTGTGTGGCATGGCCTTGTCGAAGGGTCATATCGTCCTTACATTCATCGAGGACGATTCCCTCGGTTCACGTTGGCGTCGTCGTGAGATGTATGTCTGATTTTAGTGGCAAAGACCCAGGTTCGATTCCGACTCTCACCTTCAAGAGGTGGGGGCGTACTCTTCAAGAGGTGGGGGAAAAATATAAAGCAGATTGTCTGGTGACTGATGTGGCGGATGTACGTGTAGTGCAGTTGACACAGACGCTCGGAAGGTTTTGAAGCAATGAATCGACTCGCCGCGACGTAGTAGGGTAGATGGCCATAATTCATACGAAGTAGATGATATTCTTCACAAAGGGCCATATCTATGTCCTCCCCAAAACGTCGGTCGAGGGTGATGTCCTCTCTTCACACTGAAGTGAGTAAATAAATGTGTGACTTGCGGAGTGCAGTCCGGCTAGAGCATTGAAAGCGATGAGATTGGATTCTCCCCGTCCGCGGGGGGTTGAGTTGGGGTTAGATTAATGTATCTGGTCGGCGGCAACCGAACGACGGGCCTTGGACTGATGATGATGATGATGCTGAAACGACCACGCTATCCCTTGTGCACGTGGACCTGGTCGTACGGTCTGTTAGTGACTTTCTATCTAAGGCCTTTACGCCCTCTGATTGGTCGAGCGGTCTTTCGCTCTCCAGCGTCCTCTCTCTGTTCCGCAGATATATTCCGAGAACGCGGTGCAGCCGCTTTCTCACCAGACTGGTCTGCTTTCTCGCCAGTCCACGTGCTCGCCCAGTTTCGGCCACCAGGCCCTCCGTTGGCCGTGAGTGAGGCTTTGGGGGTGGGTTAGGTTGCGTCGGTCACGGGTGTGCGTCATATCCCCGTCTGCAGTGCTATGGTTCATCATCGGTCAGAGCTAAGGAGTCATCAACAGAGCGCAAGCACGTAAACACATTATCATAAGACTAAAATCTTTCTGACTTCGGATGCCGTCAGAGAGGCGGCGGCGGCCCGAGCGCAAGGGGTAACTCAGGGGGAACAAGTGGGCAAATAAGCTTGTCGAGGATCAACCGCGGGTGGAAACGCGTGCCTTGGCGCGGTCCACGAAGCACAATTCTGAAGCTTTGGCTTAGCATCTCAAACCAATGTCCATGTTTCATTCGACTCGGGACAGGTAGGGGGTGATGTTACTGTAGTCGAACGGTGAGACGGACGTGTAGTTCAGTTTTGGGCACGCGTACGGTGCTGCAGGGATTATATTTAGGAGTAGTACCTCTTCGGGCTCTTGGATACCTTTTTCTTGCTACGTGTACGTGTTCCTTAGATCCTCAGATGGCTCTAGCACTTTCGTGACCACGGGCCGAGAGTCTTTGCTAGATTTTGGCATTTAGCAACTGGCATACGGTTTAATGTGAAGTCAACAACCACCCGTTGCCCGACCCGGCCCGAAATGCTGATCTCGAGCTACAATGCAAATCTCACAGAGTCTCGAGTATGGTTCGGTGGGGAATCGCAGATCATCATCCCTACCCGAGTGTGAGGAGCTTCCGCCTCCTGTGGCCGACAAGTCGGCGTTGCCTGTGCCGCACCACGAACGGGGCGGTTGAACAGATAAAGAGGGTCCGTCCGGTTGCATTACAATTTTGTTTTTTTTCTTTCGAGTGAGCGGGGCTTCTGGTTTGTATCCCTCAGGCTGCTGTTTTCATGCACCACGGCGGGTATCTCGGAGGTATACGGTCTCTGTCTGTTAGTGTTGGACACCCGTACGCGTCACTCATTCCCTAAAATGTGCACTGACAGCGACAATCATCCTTGCTCTCGTTCATCAGCATGTTCGCAGTATATCCACATAGCATATAGACTATGCCGGCCTTTTTTTGTGTACTTCCATGTGCGTGGTTATTCTCGGTTGTTGTGTGGTTGCTCTGAATTCATCAATTAGCAGTGAATGTTTTCGGACCGCATGTGAAGCAGGGTTTGCGGACCGCATATGAACTGCCGCTATCGCTGCCCCTGGTCTTTCTGCAGTAGACAACATGGTTCGGTGGTGTGGTGTGCATCCACGCGGTCTACATTGTACGTCAAACGTTGACAAGCTGACAAGTTGTGCAACTGCGCGTCCCTCTGTCCGTTGACAAGTTGACTGTTACCGGTCTCTCCGTCCATCTCTCGTCCATGCTCATAATGTTATCGGTGTGTGCCGTGATTGCGAGAGAGCCACAAGCCACCACCAACTGAGGACGCTTTCCATGTCTTCACACAGAGTACAGATAGTGAGGCCACCTCTACCACGGAGGAAGCGCGTACTACATAGGCCTTCGCCCAAAGATAACTACTCTCCTTTGTCCTCTCTCCGTCCCTCCCATTTCCGGCGCTTGGAATACGCGGTAGTAATTTTGTTTTCAAGGGTCCGCGAAGCTCATGTCTCCGGTTTATTGCGATTGCCGCCCTTGCCGCTGCCGATTTTTCGAGAGTAAGTACATGCGATGGCCTCGACGAACAGTGCTTGCCAACATAAGGAGTTTGTTTGTGTGTTTTTGTACATACGATGCATAGGATTCGCGAACTCTCTCCCTGCTTGCCAAGTATCACATTTCGTCTACTTATATTTTATTGCTGTAGCTGCCTTCGTCCTTCCAGGTTATCTCCGCTTCGTTTCTTTCCTTTTGTTCTTCTAACAGTTTGTTGGGGTCCTATGGGCCCCCCCGTACACCCCAAAAATCAATTATCGCTTGCAATGAACGGGTAAATATCCTTCTTGGCACCGGTGGCAGCACCCACGAGGCAAGTCGCCGCCCTCCTTCACGTACCATATCCTTATAACACCCCTCCTACAGAAGTAGCTCGAACACATCCAAGGCGTGTGGGGCGACAGCGTTGATGAGCATGAGAACCAGCACCGAAAACTGCCCAAATTCACCGCAGACGACGCTTTGGGGGGGGTGGGGGGTGGGGGGGGGGTGTACTCATAGTCGTGCATGCCGTAGTCGTTAGAC